TGTTTATGACTCATTTTGATGGCGCTGTGACATTTATTATACATTGCAATGTCCTAAGGCTAACAGAAACCACTTCACTACTTTTTCTTTTGTTGTGGTGCATCACTTGTGACCTGTGCTGGTGTGTGACATCACAGCATAGCTAATTCAGCAAAGAAACCAAAGAGGACATCAGATAAAGAGATGAAATACAGTGAGATGAGACAAGAGTCAACATTAAACTGACTTTTACTGACTAGAAGAGATCTCAAAGAGACAGGATGCAAATGTTGGATTAGTAAATCTTTGGGGGTTGGGAGGAGATCTCTCAAAGGCTGTAATGCAGTAAAAGCTAATTAAATCTGTCACATGTACAGTACCAGTAAGTATGGACATGTTTCCCCATTAAATCTAATGAGAAAGTGTGTCCAAGCATTTGACTGGTCCTGCATCAATTAAAAATGTTCCTGATAGACAGTAGATCCAATTTATGCACCTTATTTATCCTTTAAAAATACCTTTGACGACTGGGACTCTCTTGTAGATGGAGTGACAGACTCTGATGAGACGGATGGAGCAGATTTGGGAATGGGCATCTGTGAATCATCAGATGATAAACCCGGCCAGGACTGTGTAGAACTCTGGGGGAGCTCAAAACTTGATCTCTTAAGAGGTTCAGCTAAATCAATCACATTTTTCATAGTCTTCATGAGTTCGGGCACATCTGTACACAGTAAAACAGAGATGAAAGGTGCTACACTCATTGTTTAAACAAGTGACCTCTTAAAGTATATTAGTTTTGTAATTTTTTAAGAGTGATACCTTCTACAAGCAACTCCCTCAGTTTGGCATTCTCTTCTTTCAGGTCTTGGATCTCTCGCTTAAGTTCAACCACAGTCTTTTTTGGACTTTGGTCACAGTCAGTGACTGAAAGCGGTGAATGACTGTACATTGCAAGGAATTCCTGGTCTTTCCTTGTGAGAGCCTTTGACTTCTGGACATACAAAGAAATTAAGAGAAAGTAACTGACATGATAAGACAAAGAAAAAGCTGATAGTGGAGTTTAGAATCTGAGGTGTAGAGACAACAGATACAATATCTGTGCCCCTAAGTCAGCATACTTTAAAAAGCTGATTTGACAAGCACAAACATCACGGCTTGTTCCAAAGTTCAGACTACTTGGAAGGCAGTTCAAAATTTCAATTAACTTTTTTCACAATTTAGATGGCTACATCTGATTAATCATTTATCCTTTAACATATAACATAATTCACTGCATGCAGATGACAACTGTGTGCAAGATAGCAGGACCATTAGAGTAGGTTTGCAAAGGTAAAACTGAGTTTCGGCTCTCAAATGATATCAGTGGTCTGAAAAAATTATGTGTACAATTAATTTTTCCAGTAACAGAGAACCTTAGGCATTACAGTCCTTGGTAGGGACAAGTGTGCAATGTACAGACAGGGGTGTATAAACAGTAAATGCAATTTGGAGGCTAGGTCAGCCCAGTTGAAGTGGCTGTAGCCTGCATAGACCCCATCCAATGGTCAACATGGACTGCAGACTTCGTTGGCTGGCTTCTTTGAAGTCCATTTACTCTGTGATGCAGTTAGTATCAAGAATCTTCATGGATTTGTTTTTAATGCTAAAATAGTAGAAGATATAATACAACAGTGTCATCACCACATTAAAGGTCAAAGTTAATTGATGTTACCTTGACTTGCAAAGGCTGCGACAGAATCTGAGTGTCATCTGGATCATCAGAATCATCCTGATAGTTTTTAGGGTGGACTGGTGCCCTCTTGGTCAGGTCTGCTGGTTCATTTTCCCTCAGTAATGCATTAAGTTTACGAGCTGCCTCAAAACGAGTACCTGGGAACAAAAAAAGGAAACAAACAAAATTACATAATAATAATCTGCTTATTACTCCAGAACACTTTTTGTATTACCAGTAGGTAAAAGCTGGTGGTGTACTATTCCCACCCAAATAGGGTATTCTATTTATTTATTTGTTATATTTATTTTGGTCACTTTTCTGGTCACTTTAGTTTATTCTTTGTCAGTATTTAATAACATAACTCAGGTCTCTTAAGTTATTTTTCTTTAAAACAATTCTGTTATGGTTAAAAAAGTTGGTTAAATAAATATTTTATTGGAAGTCTGTTTTTGTGCTCTTTATTAAAATTAAATCATTTAGCAATATCCTTAAAAAGTCCAGGCAGAGCTGCACATAAAATATGGTTTTAAATCTTTTCAATAATTATCGATATCGATCAATATGAATTTTTTTTTATCAATAAGCTTTTTTTCTATATCGCCCAGCCCTAATTACCAGACCATGCCATGTTTTCAAGCAACTGCAGTCATGACTATCATTTCTAACTCTGACTAAAAATGCAATTGTACATTGGAATGGTTCTTCTGATGTGTGTAAGAGAGAGATAACAAATTAATGTAAATCAGATACAGAAAGAGACAGATATTTGTCTAAATGCTATGTGATAACATTTCCCATTTTATGTATTATGCTATCATACTGTCATATTGCAATGTAGTTTTGTGTATAGTACACATTGTGCAGTTATCAAAGTACTACTAATTCATATTTTACTTAATTTCCATTCATATAAAATTAACTAAATATAAAACCATTCAACATCTAAGAGCAATCATCTTAACAGTTGTGTGCTTTAGTTTACTTTGACATTACAATTTTATAACATTTTGAAGAGCATTAACTAAAATGGTAACAAACTGGCTTAACATTTCAAATTAAATAACCATCATGTTTACAGTACAACATATTGCAAAGTCTCAGCTACTGAGCAAAAAAAGTAAGCACGTAAAACACCAACAGGCCAAATTAAGCACATTTTTAGAGAAATGTCATTAGATAGAAAGAGGACAATATCATTGTCAAAACACAGACTTACCACAGACAAAAACAACAGTGCCCCTGTAGTGAGGCCACCCTCCTCGCTGTTTCTTCCCATGGCGCCCTCACTCCACCGCACAACTGCAAACTTCCTCTCCTTGTGTTCTGAAGTAATTAAGAGAACAAAAGAAGAAAGAAATGACTGATATTTATTGTCGTCAGTCATTGCTTTCTCCTGGAGAAAAAAAATTATTATACCACAATGTAAAATATTTGTATGGTGTCTGGCTTACGCATATCAAGTTTGAAAATTTTCTTAACGGTCATCATCTGTTTTGATGTGGTTAGCACTCAGCTAACCACTTTTAGCAAGCCTTATATGTGTAATGCACAGACTGCAAGTAACAAGTAAACTGAAAAGTACATACCTTTAACATTAGGTGCATTCCTCCACGTAGTTTCCATCTTTTACAAGACGCACACAAGACGAAGATGCTGCATTAACGGACCGCCGCACCTTACCGCTCTTCCTTAGATCACACAATCTCGCGTGACAACGTTCAAGGTCTCGCGTTGAGCTGCCAGTGCGTTGTGGGATTGCCCGCCCTACCTTACCTGTGATTGGTGTTTCCTGATGTTTGACCATACTCTTAACAAATTACGGCCCTCAGAGCTCAAAGCAAAGCAAAAATAGCTTCTATAGTTTTAGCGGTTTTCCACGGAAAATAGAGTAAACTGACTACAGCAATGCCGAAAAGAAAACTCGTTACATCAGACACAACTGAAAGAGACTGGTTGCGGAAAAATGTTCCTACTCGTACCTTGACCAGATGGAAAAAAAAGTATGCGCACTGTTTTTTTCTTTTTTTTCTTTTTTTACGGTAATAAACTTTATTAGAAAAAGTTTTATAATACAGAAAAAGGAACACTTTACAGTCAACGATCACCAGGGGTTTGAGCAAAAGAAAAAAAAAGTAATTAAATAAAAGTAAAAATTGTAATAATAAATAGAAGCATATAAAGGGATTATATAAATACTTTACGTTTTAGCAGCCTTTTTATTATTGGAGGAGGACAATGTAGAAAAATAAGCAGTTGCTTCCTTTAAAAAAGAAATACAGGAGGGTTAAGTCACAATGATTTTACATTTGTTGATATAAAACTTGGCCAACAGTAACAAGAAGAAATGTTCAGAAAGTTATTTTTTATATTTTGTGATTCCAAATAAAACATATTTAAAATAAAGTTCAAATTTATCATAAATATTGTCAGGAATGAAGCGACAGATACCTTGCCAAAAACGCCTGGTGTGTTCACAGGACCAAAACAAATTAGAGACAGACTCTGAGTAAATATTGCAGAAAGTACAAGTGTTAGAGAAGAAGAAGTTATGTTCATAGAATAATAATAGGAATATGATGCGTGGCTATATGCAAAAATGCTAAACTTAAACAACTGTCCATTGTTATTAATTTTTTCATCTTTTAGTGAATTTGTGATCTTTCCTTAATTTTATTGTTGTATTATATTGATTCTTAGTTTAATCTCTTATAGTTTTGTCAACAAAAGTAAATTCTGTAAGTGTTTTCTATGTTACTTACAATAGCTTAGCATCACTTATGTTTGTCTGACTTATATAAGTTTGATACTCAATTTTTCTTATAAGGATATTGTATGCGGAGTTACTGTCATATATTGTTCTTAGAAGTACCCAAATCATATATTTTCCCTTTTATACAATTTTTCTATAGATTTTATATCTGGTTTCACTCTCATATGCATTACATACAAGTTTCAGACAACACAGATAGAAATCTTACAAGATTTATCTATATCTTTTCCATATGGGTGGCTACACCCTCTGGATTATCCTTCCTTCCATCATCTGTTTGGTTCTGATCTCCTGCCTGTTCTCCCACCTCCGGGTTTTCAGCAGCTTGGACTCTCTGGGCAGTGCCTGTCACATCTTGTTGGCAGCCGACCAGCTAGAACCAGCCTCACTTCTGGGCTCGGACGTAACTTGGACGGACCAGTTTAGTGACTCACACGTTACATAGATGTGGTCACTAACCTGTGTTCTTGACATAAACGCTGATGCTGTTCTTAGTTGATCGGTCATAAATTAGCGTTTTCTGAAACTAACTGTCTTTCCACCTTAAATAATGGGTCTGTTCTTTCTGAGCCTGATATGGATAACAGCTGACTGATTGCACAAGACTCCTACATCAAGTCTGGAGCGCTTGGAAAATGCGTTTGTGCTTGACAAAAGATTAGAAGTAAGAAAATGTACGGTGAATGTACGATGTATGGTGAATGTACTATTTTCTCATAAATCACTAGTACGAATGTTTTTAGAGTTAATCAATTTGAACAAATGGTTTTGGGATGTGGCCCATTGTCTTTGGTTCAATAGTAGCTTAGCACAAGGAATTGTTCATTTATTTATGTATTTTCAGTCCTTAACAGCTTACATCCCCTTCACTCCATCTATTATGGATTTCCTTTAAAATCTTAAACGGACGTTGCTGCACAATCCTATGTAGCTAGCACTTAACCTTCCACTGTAGCAGCCTTTCAAAATGGCCCTTCCCAGTCAAAAGCCATGTGGCTTTTTGACCAGGAATGGCATGGAAACAAAATCCCCTCCTACTTCCAGCCACTTGCTTTTTGATAGGCGTGCATATTTTTTTACTCTGACTCCACCCTTTCACTGAATTACAGGGTCTGACCAGGAGATGACATATCTCTTTAGAACTTAATGTCCACAAGTCATGACAGAAAGAACATTTTACATGTTTAAAAAAGAATTGTAGGGGACTAGCCAAGGACGGGCCAGGGGCCCATCAAGGAAAGTGAAAAAAATTTTGAATGGCTACTACTGTATATACACTCACTGGCCACTTTATTAGGTACCCCATGCTAGTAACGGGTTGGACCCCCTTTTGCCTTCAGAACTGCCTCAATTCTTCGTGGCATAGATTCAACAAGGTGCTGGAAGCATTCCTCAGGGAGTTTGGTCCATATTGACATGATGGCATCACACAGTTGCCGCAGATTTGTCGGCTACACATCCATGATACGAATCTCCCGTTTCACCACATCCCAAAGATGCTCTATTGGATTGAGATGTGGTGACCGTGGAGGCCATTTGAGTACAGTGAACTCATTGTCATGTTCAAGAAACCAGTCTGAGATGATTCCAGCTTTATGACATGGCGTATCATCCTGCTGAAAGTAGCCACCAGAAGTTGGGTACATTGTGGTCATAAAGGGATGGACATGGTCAGCAACAATACTCAGGTAGGCTGTGGCGTTGCAACGATGCTCAATTGGTACCAAGGGACCCAAAGAGTATAAAATATTCCCCACACCATGATACCACCACCACCAGCCTGAACCGTTGATACAAGGCAGGATGGATCCATGCTTTCATGTTGTAGATGCCAAATTCTGACCCTACCATCCGAATGTCGCAGCAGAAATCGAGACTCATCAGACCAGGCAACGTTTTTCCAATCTTCTATTGTCCAATTTCGATGAGCTTATGCAAATTGTAGCCTCAGTTTCCTGTTCTTAGCTGAAAGGAGTGGCACCCGGTGTGTCTTCTGTTGCTGTAGCCCATCTGCCTCAAAGTTCGACGTACTGTGCGTTCAGAGATGCTCTTCTGCCCACCTTGGTTGTAACGAGTGGTTATTTGAGTCACTGTTGCCCTTCTATCAGCTCGAACCAGTCTGGCCATTCTCCTCTGACCTCTGGCATCAACAAGGCATTTCCGCCCACAGAACTGCCGCTCACTGGATGTTTTTTCTTTTTCGGACCATTCTCTGTAAACCCTAGAGATGGTTGTGCATGAAAATCCCAGTAGATCAGCAGTCTCTGAAATACTCAGACCAGCCCTTCTGGCACCAACAATCATGCCACGTTCAAAGTCACTCAAATCACCTTTCTTCCGCATACTGATGCTCGGTTTGAACTGCAGGAGATTGTCTTGACCATGTCTACATGCCTAAATGCACTGAGTTGCCGCCATGTGAATGACTGCTTAGAAATTAAGTGTTAACGAGCAGTTGGACAGGTGTACCTAATAAAGTGGTCGGTGAGTGTATATGTTTTGATACAGTTAAGCCCACTTCTTTAGCAATTATATTTTCAGCGTTCTATCATTTTGGACCAGCAGAGTGCTGTCCAGTAATTTTTTTTTATGATTATGTAGGCCATAACTGCTTTTCTACACTGAAGTTTATTTCATTATCCTCTATATTTTCTAAAAATCATAAAACTGAACTAAAGTAAATGTTTTAAATGAGTGTGATTGATCATATGTTTGCACTATTATAACGACTTTATCTCCTAATGTAAAATGAATATACAGTGAGTGAATAAGCATTCATTGTTCAACATGTGTACCATACATAGAGGAATTTTATAACTACAACCATTTTGTTAATGTCATTGCTTTTCATTGCTCCTTAATTCTATTACAATTGAATTTCCGTTACCTGAGGCTCTTTATATTCTTTTTTCCAGTAAGTGTGTGTTTGGCTTTGAGTCTAAAGAACGGTTGTATCAGCATTAACTTTTGACTCGATTTCATTGCCTAAATAAGAGCTAAGAGGAAGTGGCCGAGCAAGATGGCCCTTGTTAGGAAGAAAGAGAGAGAAAGCCGAAAGGAGGGGAGGCAGCTCCTGTGACATGGCAACAGGCCAGGGTCGGTGACGGCTGACTAATGACTTTCACTGAGGGTGTCAACCTCAGATTTATGTTCCCCCTTTGCCCGAATCCACTCTCAGTATCTAAACCAAGAGTTATTCATGAACTATGGGAGCACACATTTCCCCCCCCTTAGAGATTTAGGGCTGTAGCCTTTTTTTGAATCACATATCAACATGCAGCAAGTAAATAAAATGCAGAGCAAACTACAAGCATAACACTTTTAGACCAAAAATATATACAGATGCCATGCGCTCACTCAAAGCAGTCATGTCTGCATTACCAACCTTAAAGGACTAAATTAGGGAGGTTAGAAATTATCCTTTAAATAATTATAACTTGGGTATACAGTCTTGGGACTGCTTTTATTTTGTTTAAGGAAAGAAGACATTAAGCTTTACATTAAATACTATATTTAAAGTATTCCACGGAGATAAAGTTTGCAAGCCCACATAATCCGTTTTCTTTACATTTCAACTGCTACGTAAAAATGCAAATGAATCTTACTAGCTGTTACACAGTAGTTTAAGCTTATTAACAACATCAATATTTTAACCTATTCGTAATAACTAGAATAGCTTGTGGCACACTCTTTTCTCTTTTTCAGTAAATTATATCAGATAAAATGCAGTGCAGTCCATGAGAGCCCATAACTGCCCATATAGCCCATGAACAGCCACTGAGTTTATCGAGAATATAAACTGCTTTCTACATAATAAATTAAAATGGAAGTTTCATCATATCAAATACTTCCATTTGTGGCTGTTTTTTGTTCTTTAGTTTTAATTACTATGGAAATTTATTTAAATCCCAAAGACCACAAGAAAATAACTACATTTGTCCAAAATCCTCTGAAATTTAAAGACTGTTTAATCATCCCTTGTCTGCAGCAAAGGTTAATCCATTTGTATCATTTCTCACTTTTAGATAGTTTGACAACCTCTAACAAGAATAGTGGATCCATTATT